GGTGGTGAGAGATTGCGTTTTGTTCTATTGTTTTTCTAGGATAAACTCTTTATCTGATATTGTCTGGAATGCAATGCTATTATATACATTATTTATATAATTTTTGCCAAGGATATGAGCAAAACAATAAAAAATATTAGGTATATTATAATGAAGTGGGTGATTTGATAATATAAAGATTTAAAATTAGAATTACAAAAATGAGGAAATAAATTACAAAGCTCTTTACTGTAGTTTTTCAATCCAGATAATTGTACCAATTCACCTCAAACTGCATTAGAAAAACTCCAATAAACCTTACACATAGTAATATCGTATCATATAATGTTCATTGTGGATAATCGATATGACACAATCAATTGCATATGACACAGCTTGTTTACAATTTTGTAGTTTAAAGTTGTCATAGCAACACAAAGTTTTTAACAGTTGTGATTGTATTATTTCTCAAGTATCAGTAACAAGATGAAACTTTCTGGTAGATGTCGCTTTTAAACTAGAGACGCCAAATCAAAAAGACTAAAAAACATAGTTACCTACTTTTATAGGTGTGGAATTGATCGCGGCTTTTTATCGTGCTGGTAAGTTTATGGTAAAATACGCTTTAATATAAAAAGTTTTGAAATTGTATTAGTTTATATTGAGGTATTATACCTCTAATTAGTTATAGCTAAAGCAAAAGTTAGATTTAAATGCAAGTAAATTAATAGTAATACTGATGACAAGTTGTAACTACCACAAAGTTTGTTGTATTGTAAGTTGTAACTTGTATTTGTAAGTGTAATTTGTAAGACACTCCCATACAGTACAGCCTCAGAGTCTTGATGCATTTTATAGTTTAGGTCGATTCTCTGGTCAATCTTGTATTTTCAGCAATTAAATGAATAATTATGATTAACCTCTATGTTTATGGTTATGAATATGATTTCTATAACTTATACTATAACTAAGTTATACTTATAGATACAAGAATACTAGAGAAAGCTTAGGCCTAAGTGACAAAAGACCATTCGACTTAAAGTGTATACCAAATTACCAGGCAAATCATGTTACTATTGTTATGTTAGTGCTACAGAATTTTTTTATTTAAAATTGTAGTAGAAGAAGTCTGAGCCTGAACTGCAGAAGCTTAAACTTAATAGGGTGTTACCCTTAACTCATACACTGCAGCTGCTCCAAACGTGCATGGAGCTTGTCTAAGCCGTACACCGTGTATGGCACACATGCATTCAACTGCCAGAAGCAGACCTACCAAACACAGTGAATCGGCAGTTAGTGGGTTAATATTCATGTTTAGGTGATTTTATTTCTCTACTTAAACATTTACATCTTTCAGTAGCATTCGATCCCAGCCTCTAACATTGTTAACCCTTGACTGCAGCTGTTTTAAACACTCAGAATTTTTTCAAGCTGTACACTGAATACAGCACACTCGCATTCAACTGCTGGGGATGGACCATATGGCAAATTAGTAGTCAGTGGGTTAAACACTGAAATTTATTTTCGAACTCAAACTCATCTTTCAGTAGCGTTTGATCCAAGCTCTTAACATTGTTAAACACTTATTTTGGATTTTATATAGAATATTTGTACTTGTAGTCCCTTTTTCAGAATTCTTTATATTGTGTTAGTATTATTCTTGCACTATAATAGAGACCCAAATGCTCAAAGTAATTTAACAAAATAAAATTTGGTTCTTCAAGGATGCCCCTGATCCTGAGAAAAAGTAAAAACATTTAATCCACCTTTTATATATAATTAAATCATCTGTTCCCTTCCTTAAAGTTCATTACTGCTAAGGTCAATTCATTTCATAACCTAATCACCCTGTTTGAAAAATAAAGTTTTTTTGGAAGGTCGTAATAATTACACATAGATCCCAAATTTCTTTTCAATTTTTAGATTTGGGTACATACTTTATTTTCACTTTAGAAAAATGTTTGTACTGTGAGTATAAAAAAATATATTTTGTATGTAATTACTGATATATGCCTTCAGCTTACATATTTTGCTCCAATTTTTTAGATGAAAGCACATCCAAAAATTGTATAATTTAATTTTAAAAAGCATTTGATAAGATGTCTCATAAAAGACTAACTAGAAAATTAGATTCTACAGATTTCTAAAAAAAGTTAAAAAGTGATTAGAAAATGTTCTGTATGCTTTTATATAGGTTTTTCAGATAATGTCGTGTGTTGATATTTTGAGCTCCTTAAATTTTTATTGGATAATTTTATGGATGTAATTGAATATGCTTAGATTGGACTTGTGTTTTTCTGGGTGACCTCCACAGGCCAAATGTTTTTTCTTATATTCTTTAAAAAAAAGAAAAAAAAACAAGTTTAAAAATTGAGAAATTTGAGGTGTTGCATGTGGTCTATAAAGAGAATTCTATCAACAATTTTTTGTGCTCAGCTGAGTGCACCCAATGTAAAATTGCACCTTTGAATTAAACAGTATGTAAAGAAAATGCACTTGTGATAATCTTTTTGCAGCATGTTTGTTAAATTTTATGAAATGTTAAGTCATTAGCCATTGTCTTCTCAAAGCTGAGATGTAGGTAATTTACATAACACCATGACTATGAAGGTTGAGAAACAGTAACTGGTTTAAATGAATAAAATAACATTTATACTGAAGGACAAAACTTATACTGTCAACATTTTATTCAAAACTTTTCTACTTTCCTCTTATGGGGCTATGAGTGCCATATGGTACACAGAAAAAATTCAGGACATTCACAAACCCTAATGTTCTTGATAGGTGTACATTAAAATCAAACTCAAATCAAAATCTGACCATTATTTACTTTTATGTAAAAAATAAATATTTTCATTGAATAAACATCTCAATCAAAACAATGGCCTTGTCAACGAAATAAAACCTGATTTGTAAAATGCAAAGTATTCTAACTAAGCCTACTTTATCTTGTTCTACAATAAACATTTATTTTCTTATCATAAAAACCAGGACTGTAATTGTAATTGTGGTAGGTTTTTCATAAACATATTATTTTCCAGCAACATACCACCAAGCTATATTTTTATCACTTTTTCCAATTTCTATGCAATGCTCTGCTGAACTGGATGCCAAATTGTCTCAAACAGTTGAAAAAAGTGGAACATTAACGTTTATATCATAATTAAATTTTTAGATGCAAAAAAATTGGTAATTATATTTATTTTAATACACATTAATACAACTTATTAATTAATAGCTGGAATTTTTTATAATTATTTGATCTTGAAATTAAGTTCATTGTTCATGTAATGAGACTGTTCCTAAAAACAATAACAGTATTCCCATTATGAAGTTATGGTAACCATGAAAGTTTTGATCATTAAAAGAATAACTGGATGCAAAAATTATTTGGTGCTACGCTGTCAGCTGTATAAGAGAGGAAATTACAATTTAATAAAATGTTTACTTTGCAAGTGTAAATATAAAACATGTGAACATGCTCTTACTTGAACATGTAACTTATTTAACATAGTTATTTAGTATTTGTGATATACTTGAATTCAATCAAGCACCATAAATTTCAAACCAAAGTTCAATTTTACACTCTTACTTAATACCCCCAGTAGTGAATACTGGTATTTCCATTATAGCACATTTCTGTGAAGGATGGCATGGTCAATTTCAGACAATATATCTTGAATATTACAAAGGCTCTCACTTGATGTAACACATCAGCTGACTTCAGAGGAATGGCAGACAAGGGTACTGCATAAGCACACCACACTGTCAATGAGTCAGGAATTCACAGTGTACCAGATATACAAGTGCTAAAAATGCTGCTCATGATAAAAAGCTCACATTTGCAGCAAAATGCCACAGCATTAGCATAGGGGTTCCCACACTTTCACAATCCAACCATACTCAACTTGATGCATCTGTTACATAGTTTATTTTATCACATGACGTAACAAAAGTGCATGATGAAATAGTTTGAAACTCAGGATAGAATTTCTATAGATTATGTAGCTTTTGCAAAATATCTTATTTCTATGTGATATTCTCATGAATTTGTAGCTTTGAAAATTCAAAAGATTTCGAGACATATTGTAGATTTCAATTACTTTCATTCTATAAAACTGTAAATTTTATCACTGTTTTGACTTGAAAAAATTCCACAAATAGTTTCACTGTGCTTAAGATAATTTCCATACAAAAAAAATATCTTTTTATCACATCAAAATTAAAAGAAGTCAAGTTCTTTTTATATTGATGATCAGAAAATTTCATTTAATATATGTAGTAAGTTTTAAACCCAATTTATATATGTATATTTAATTTCTTTTCTATGATTTTCTCTGCCCATTTAGGTAGTTAGTTAGACCTATAAAGCCTAATGTAAACACATTCTAACTGAAGATGTAATATGTGCAAGTAGTAGTAGGAAGAAACTCAATATGTATATCTTACACAACTATTAACAATAAACTATTCCTAATGTACCCCCTTTCAGATATTTATCAAGATCAACCTATATATAATGCAGATTTACATGAAAATACAATGTGGAAATGCAAAAATAGTATTTAAAATATGCCTACACACTATAATCCTATTATTATATATACAATGTTCAGTTTCAAGGTCAAGGTTGTACAAAACTAATTTCAAAGCAAATGATTAATTTATATTTTTCCCCCATGAATTTTTGAGATAATGTGATAGGAATGGTCTTTAAAGCACTACACACTTTCCACTCTTGATAAACATACTGAACTTTTGGTCATTCTATGTACTTGACCTTGCTACGAAAGAATGCGAAAGTAAACGGAACATGATCTGTGCTTGAGCACACCACGGTGATGTAACTATTCGTTGGTGTATTTATGCTATCAGTGGTCGTGATAGCAGAGGAAGAGTGGTTTCGTCTATGGAAGTATACACACTGAAAACAGATGCCTGGAAAATGGATAGGTGCAATGATCTACATGGGATTTATCTGGGTACTTGGTGGGTGACGTCATTTCCAGAAAATTCTTATTCTGATTCACCAGTTCTTGATAGCGTGTTGTGCTATGATCCAGTAACTAAAATATGGTTATCTCATCTTCCGCTGCGTTGGCAGTTGTTGTCTTTCTCAGTCTAATAAAAACCAACTAGTGAGCACAGGATTGCTCGATATTTATAATATTGGACTGTAACGAGTGTGAAAATAGAGCAGAGCTACAAATACCGAGACATTCTGCTGGTGTTGTTGCTTTTGAAGCCTTTATATATGTAACTGGAAGTAAAAGCAGTAAAGAATGGGGGACAGTTACAAAAACTCTTCATGTTGGACGACGAAAGCATCAGAAAACCGAAAGAAATCCCTGTTCCTTCAACTGGCATGTCAGTAATTGCCATACCTCCAGTAGAAGCTGTTTTACGAACAAAAGTCTCAGTTCTGTGATTCGACGAATAATTGACTATTGATTTGTTTACTGTAATTCGGAACTCAAATGTGAAATTACTGGCAAATAAACAAATGACATTTACAAAATAAATGACATATTACATGCATAATCCACTTACTTTTGCTTGAAATGTGATTCCATGATGAAAAGCTTCTTCATTATGCAAAGGAATTCGACTGTCGAATGCATCATCACTCACTAAATTGTATTGCTTCTTGGATGGCATCTCTGAAGGCACTATTCACAGAATCTTTTCTCAAGGGTTCAGAT